TGCGTGTGTGATTAACCAAGGCACAGCTCACTGTCGAATCGAGAGCCTATGGAAGTGCGTGACTTTTTTTGACTACTTGTGACAACATATGGCACAAACAGCCAACTCAAATCATTTGCGTCCAGGAGCAGGCCTGCTCCTCCGTGAACGGCGATGGAAACGAGATGTTTCCAGGAGTCTCGGCTGGCCAGCGGGGAACCACAAAGGCACAACTGAGGCAGGGGCCCCAGGACGCTCCCACTGTGCGCCGCTCCCCGCCGCCCCTCCTCCGCGCATGGTCAATCAGCATTGAACACCCGGCGCTGACTTCATTCGCCAGAATTTTTAAGCAGGTCAGGAAGAGAGATGTTATTGAAAGAGAAACCTCATCTCAATAAGAAAAGGCGTACAGGAGCACGTGGCCGGCCGGTGGGAGCTGCACTGTACCTTGTCCCAGCACAACGGCGGGCCTGACGTGGAAAGAGAGGTGCCCCAAGTCACCCCCAAATTTGTTCACGGTAAAATAGCCACAGTGATTCTTTTTAAACCTCCAAACACAGCCCAGTCTCTCTCTGTGATTCCTAAGTCCATGGGACCCCAGCGCCTCACTGAGCCGGGCTGAGTTCCAGGCCAAGGGACCTCCCAACGCCCTTAAACGCTTTTCCTTCGTGGGCACCCACAGGACCACGGAGCTTTGGAAAATTGGTACAGTAACATGGACAGTGTTCGCTGGCATGAACATTGAGTGTTGTCTGCATGCGGGCGGGAAGGGCAATCTGAGGCATGAGGGCAACCAAACCAGATGGCCTCGTTTTCCTGAGTTTCCTCAGCCCTCACTGGGGAGGCATCTACTGAAAATTATTCCAGGCCCTATGCCTACAGGCGAAGTTTTGAAAAACCCTTATCTCTCCTTCCATAAAGAAAAAACAGGAGAGTTTACTCTTAGAAATCAGCCTCACGCTGGTAAGAAAGAGAGGTTTCTATTAAAAAAACATTCTGTACTCTTTGCCAAATTAGAGTCATGTCTTTTGATACCATGCTATTTTCTTTCTTAGTATGAGCATTTGCAATAATTACATCCTTCTCCGTTCCCTTAGACACTCTCTGACTCTGAGCATGGCCTTCTGCTCACAGACAAAGCCCACAGACACTGCCAGCCCAATTCCATTGTACTAAAATGTTAACGGTCTAACTCGAGAGCATTTTCAAAAACTCTGGCTATAACACAATACCAACAATTACTTTGGGCCACAAGACTATATTCAGAAATACACATACTATATGTACTACACACATGTGCAAGAATACATAGTTCTATCAACCTAGGCTAAACAAGAGTGCAGTTTTCACCAAAGTCTTCAGATACATAAATAATCTTATTAAGACTAGTCCGCTACGTGAAACACCCGAATCTTGATCTAGCCCTGATCTATCGCTGGTTGTTTTCGTTCAGTCACTGTGTTTGGTCTGCCATCTCAGATCAATCATGACCATTGTGCAAGGAGAATAAACTGGACGATAGCAAATTGTTCTTCCTCGTTATGCTCTGAAGAAGCATTTGTTCTGGAGTTGGTGTTACGTAGTTCAGCTATTTCAATCATGTCCATTATGTCCTCCTCTTTGAAAGATGCCTTGTTAGGACCATGTATCCCCAGTGGGCAATGTCATGTTGTGTTTTTAGAAAGTAGGTGAAATTTAAGTCCAACTGTTCATTCATTTTTGATCGCCGATAAAACAGTTACATAATTCATCCTCGGGCAAGCACTCCGGTGCATGTTGGGAGAACTGTTTATGTAGAAACGGTTGCGTCAGGCCCCAGAATTTCTCGAAGTTATTTATTGGTTCGCATGGTAGTCTCACCCCAGAGAATGTCACCTGTGTAGCTAGTTCTATCCAAGGACAAAATGTGTCCGTTCTTCCCTATACTTTTCTCAACCATGGGAAGACGATAGCGAGAGAGAACAGAGCCCTTTCCACGTGTTTGCAAACAATCGCACTACCCCCAGCACAATGCACCTCGTGAATTTGGGGGTTGAAGTGGAAATGCTGCTGTTCACGTACATGGGCCTCAAAATCCTTTCAAAATCCACCCGTTTGCAAGAAATAAGGATTTAGAGCAAATTGCATTGCGGAAAAAAAAATAACACACTAAATAAATATTTCGTGTGTAAGAGCTGGTTAGTAGACTCAGCCATTCTTTACGAATAAATAATTCGATTTACATATGAAAAATTAGTAATTAAGAGACATTATAGTTACATAGTTGCTCTGTATTTATAACTCAGAGAGAGCAATATGTTTGGGTAAAATGATTAAACTTTGTTCTATTTGGGTTAAGTAAAATATAGTAATGTACTGAAATCTACATGTTATTTAAAACCTGAACACTTTTGTAGAGAACCGTTTTAGTGTAAGACACAGAAAATAGACTTGAAAATCAGCGCAAGCACCATCCCAGAGCACAAAATTTCAGCACAACTATCTTCTCACCCAGAGCCCGTGAAAAGACCATCACTTATAAATCATGGGTATAGAACCTCTCCTGAAGCAGTAAGTTCGTAGTAAAAATGGTTGCAAGCATTTAAATGGCAAATAAGAGTCACCACGTCGTCACGCGCATTGTAGCCTTTTTATCCGAGGGATCTCGCGGGTCTCACCATCTCTACATCCCACTCACGTCACGGAAACCCAGCACCTCTGAAACATTGCCCCTGCATATTAATAAGTCTCCCTAGAACCAGCAAACTCCTCCCAAACGCATACATCTTGACAAACACGCCCATACGGCCCGGCAAACACATCTTCAAGAAAGACACAGCTACAAATAAAGCAGTCCTCTCCTGTGGGTGTAGGTCGGCCCACACACGTGAACTTCCTGTGGGCAGACGCCCAGCAGACCGGAGAGTGGGTGATGCCCTCTTCCCACAAAGGCGGAATTTTATATGGGATGACATCACCAGCAAACCTGGGTTTCTCTGTGATACAAGATATTATTGCCTGGCTGAGTGTGTCTCTTGAGTGAGAGAGAGAGAGACAATGTGTGTGTGTGGGGGGGGGTGTGAGAGAGAGAGACAGAGGGACAGAGAGACAGAGACAGACAGGGGGGGGGAGGAGAGAGCGAGACAGTGAGGTGCTTAAAAACCAGCACCGTCAGAAATGGCACAACCTTCTGCAAGGTCTGCAAAAATCTCTCCACAGAACCTTTGACTTCTGCCAGATTTCAGACGGCTCAAGTTCATCAAAAAGGCACTTTTCCTGCACAGGCCCATTCGGTTCCCCTTCGCTGGCACACCGTGCCTCCTGAAAGGTCCAAGGTGGGTCTGCGGCGCGGGGATGTCCCTGCCCAGCGAGGCGTGTGCATCTAACATGGTGCAGGGTCCCCGGAGACCTGCCTGGGGCAGAGAAGGAGTCTAGGTTTTCACGGCATGAAAGGGTTAACCCCAGGCTGTCTGGGGTAAGAGAAAGGGGATATTGTTGTCTTTAATCTTTCCGCAGTCCAGCAGGGCTCCATCCCGGTCTGCACGGGGCAGGGCGATGGGCTGGGCAGGCTTTGCGTGCCAGCCCCCGGGGCGGGGGCACCTGGCTGGAGGCCAGACGGCAGGCAGCTCTGTGGATCACTGCGTCCAGCCTTCAGGTGTCTGGGTGCACGGAGGGCGCGGGCGGGGGAGGTGGCAATAAGGTGGGAGCAGACAAAGGGAGAAAATGGTGTGTTTCACAAAGATTCTGTGAAAATGTGCGCCCGGGTCCTCTTGGGGGGGGGGGGAGATCCTAACGTCTTAGACTTTTATAATTAGGACAGAAGCCCTGCCCTGCCCAGGCCTCTCAAAGGCATAATTAGTTCTGTCTGGAGCCTGGGAACAAGCCCTTTCAGTAACTGATGGAGTGGATGTTCTTTTGGACAGAGCTGGGTGACACTTCCCGGGAACTCTGCTGCTCAGAACCTTCGCCGTCAAAATCCCGTCCATCTGATCTGCCTTTTAATTTCTGACGAGACTTAGCTGGTGACTCTCAGGGGCTCTGGACGCTGCCAGACGTGGGGTACAAAGCCCCGCTGGGTTACGCCAGCTGGACCCCAAACGAAAGCAGGGGACAGCAGGGAGCATTTGGTTTCCCTGTTTGTTTCCAAATATTTTACAAATTTAAAACAAAAAAAACAAAAACCTGCTTTCTTTGTGGGTTGCTTCCGTCGGAAACTCCAGCGAAAAATCTTACCGTGACTTGTAACTGGGTGCTCCCCTTATCTTGTGCCTGCTCGTAAGAAGGGACCCCAAATTATTTTATTCTTCAAGCATTCTTCTCGACAGAAGCTTCTGCGTGCTTCCTCCCCACCCCCACCGCCTCACTCCACCCTAGGAGGAATTATAACAAAAAAATCTTTATACATGGGAGGCTGGATCCCCACACCAAACGCTGTCCTCGCCCTGTGCCCTCACCCCGGACACCCCACCCTGCCCTTCACTTCTGCCGGGACCTCGTTTCCCGTTCTGTGGGCAGACACAGGGCCCCGTGCTGGCTCCCCCATCCCTGTGAAGTGCAAAGTGGTGGTTAAAACAGAAATAAAAGAAAGCCCTGGCTTGAAGCCATTGTTCAGAATTTAAGAGCTATTTGCCCCGGCAGCCTCGGCGTCTCTGGCTAATTATAATAACTGTCAGATGTCTGGAAGTCCAGGGGGCTGTTGTCAGTGGAGTCGGCAAAGTTTGCCTTTTGTTTTCCTCGGGGGACGGTCAGCGCGGAGGAGACACGGGGAGCGGACGGGAGTGATCTGAGGACACCGTGCGAGCCTCTGCTTCCCAGGAACAAAGCAGCCACGGGAGCGGCGTTCGGGGCTCTGGCTCCTGCGGCCGCGCTCCCTCCCCGTTCCCGGGCTCCGGTCAGGCGACTGTGCCCCAAAGGTGTCCTGCCGGCCAGGCGCCCCCCGGTCACACCTAGGAGACAGTGCCCTCAAAAACCTCCAAATCTCGATGCTGCTGACATCAAACTATCCGAATCAGGACGCCGGACGGGAAGAAATGTGCACTTACCGTTTCAAAGGGGTTATTGTGCCAGTCCCTGGACCCCGGTGGCAGAGCAGGGCTTTGGCCCGGCCGCAGGTAGGTGCAGAATCCCCTGGGCAGCCGGGAAGGGGGGGGAGCTCCGTGGGGTCCCCGGGAACTCAGCCCCAGAGCTCAGGCATCCCTGCTCCTGGGAGAGCTGCTCCATCTGTGGTTCTGAATTGAACTAAATTACAGCCCATGTGAAAGACAGGGGCAGCCAGTCACGTGGGGGCCACGCAGCCTCCGCATTGGCCGCCCGGCCCAGCCCAGCATCCTGCCTGTGCCCCCATTGGTGAGGAGTTGAAACTGAAAGCATCTGGGTCCTCCCCTTGGGCTTATTTGTTCTTTCTGAGTGGGGGAATGACTGTAGGATTTCACAGTGACAGACTTGGGGGAGAATAGGGCTGAAGCCATCCTTCCCGGGGACCGGTGGGGGGGGGCTGGAAGTCAGTCTTTTCCAGAATTGTTTTTCCCTTCCAGCCCCCTCCGCCCTGCGGTGGGGACTGTGATTTGGCTCTTTGCCTGCCAGGAAAAAAGGTGTTGGTGGGTTTGGGGTGTGTGTGTGTGTGTGTGTGTGTGTGTGTTTTCTCCCCCAGTGAACTTTGCAGGCGACACACTTGAAATGATCGTCCCGTCCCTTGGCGGAACCCAGTCACGTTGGGAAGCCCACATTCGCCGCGGCTTTTCCGGGATGAATTTCCAACTCTTGTTCTGGTGCTTGAAGCGGCTCGAGCTCAGTTGTACACAAACAGGCTGACTTGTGCGTGACCAACACGAGGCACAGGCACGGGGCTGTCTTTTTCGAGCCGTGATCACACTTTGCAGGAGGCAGGGGGGATCACTGGACAATATTCAAAGGCAAAGCGTCGCAGAAGTCAAAGGAAGGACGTCAGCTCAGCAGGGGTCAGGAGGAAATACCATTTTCCCAAAGCCATTCTTTATTTATCTCTTTGGGGGGTGCCAAGTGCCCACAGACTGACAGGTAGTGTTCAGCTATTTCACGACTGCTTCATTCACTGAGTCCTCAAACTCTGGTGCATGTGTAAGGCATAGACAAGCGAGTCGCCTTAGAGATGGCCAAACCTGGGGTTCCGGGTGACAAAGGTGCGGGGGTGGGGTCCTTCCCCGTATTCCCCAGGGAACATCGGAGCGAACAGGAGTAAGAATGGTCTCGGCACGCCTTGGGGTCTGTTCCACTACTTCCATTTCGTGGGGCAAGAACAGGCGTGGACACCTGACTGTTGGCGTAGCCTGACCGGAATCCACACCAGACGAGGGCCGTGTCCACGGTGCCAGCGAGGATACTGTCATCGGAAGGGCAGTGCCCTGGCTCACGGTGCCTCCGGCAGCACACGCCAGGAGCGCGGGCACACGGCCCTCCGGCTGGTTCCGCCCTCAGCCACCTGCTCCTCTGGGATCCCCCTTTCAGAGGGGGAATGGGCCACCCAGGGGCGTCGAGTGGGTAGCGGATGGCACTCGGTCCAAACCAGCTCTCACCCACTTTACACACCATATGGACTCTCATCCTGCTGTTGCATGCGTGTGCTTTTTCCTTTCTTTCTGGTGTAACACATTTGAATATTTCAGCATAAATGGAGAACATCACTCTGGTCGTGTGCATGTGTGTGGTTCAGACCCAGATCCTACCTCGCAGTGACTCACATGGACTGGTGAGCAGGCGTTAGAGGGACAGACACGGACTCACATTTGGGGGAGCAGCACGAGTCTGGGCTGAAGCACCCTACAGCTGGTTCAGACGGGAAACCATCGGAAAACAGGAGAGACAAGCCAGGGATCCTTTCCAGAATGGCATCGAAAATTCCATTTCCACCAGGGAAATACAAACAGCCTCCGTGGGTCTCCCCAAGTGTGACCAGCAGCCCGAGTCATACAACTTGAAGGGAACTTCCATTCCCCCCGTACCCTTGTGTGCTCTGCGGACACAGGCAATGACCGCACCCTCGCCTGTACCGTGGCCGCCTCGCCTGTACCGTGGCCGCCTCGCCTGTACTATGGCCGCCCCGCCTGTACCTGTGGCCGCCTCGGCTGTACCGTGGCCGCCTCGCCTGTACCGTGGCTGCCTCGGCTGTACTGTGGCTGCCTCGCCTGTACCTGCAGCCGCCTCGCCTGTACCTGCGGCCGCCTCGCCTATACCGTGGCTGCCTCGCCTGTACCGTGGCCGCCTCGCCTGTACCGTGGCTGCCTCAGTACCGTGTGGCCAGGACAGCTTATGCAGGACCCAGGTAGACTTAGAAGAAAATGTTTAGTCCTTGCCTTTTTTGAACGATTTTTTTTCTTTCATTGGGTGCTTAGTTCTCCAAAAACTTACGATGTGGAAGAGGGCACGTCTCACTGGGAGACGGAGGCGATGACCTGAAGTGACATCTGATGACAGTGGAGGAAGAAGAGCCAGAGGAGGACAGCATTTGAACACCAAGGAGACAAAACCAGCCCTGGCCGGTTGGGCTCATCGGTTAGCGTCAGCCCAGGAATCAAAGCGTCTTGGGTTTGACTCCCTATCAAGGGCACGTACCTGGGTTGCAGGTTCAACCCCCAGCCCCGTTGGGGTCATGCAGGAGGCAACTGATTCATGAGTCTCTCGCTCTCTCGCCCTCCCTCCCTTCTACCCTATCTAAAAGTCAATGAAAAATAAAAATAAAAAGACAAAATCATGACCACGGAAGAAATACACAACCGTAACACAGACAATGAAGACCTCGAAATGGTGAAAGATTTTGCTCACGTCGGCTCAGTCACCGATTCAAAGGGATTCTGCGGCCAAGGACGGAAGGAGGCCGACACCGGATGGGCGGCCGCGGACGCGGCAGGGGCCCCGAGCACAGCTGTCCTTGAGAGCCCTGGGCCGAGAGCATCCTCACCTTCGCCTTCCAGTTGGGGCAGGTGGCCCGGCTTTCCAGGTTTGGGGGGCTGCCCTCTGTTCTCCCGCCACCCTGCTCGTTCTCCACTGTTCCCTGCCTCGGTGACGGCACCTCAATCCAAACAACCGCTTGGTCTGGAGCCCAGCATTCATTTCTGACCCCCTCTCTTCTCTGCCCTCCCCCTGATAAGTGCACATTGTGGGGAGCTTGTCTTCAAAAATGACCTTCCATGCAATGAGCTCCCCCCGGGTCTCCTGCCGCTATGCGGATTTGGGCCGCTATTACCTCCTCCACATCCCCCGGCAACCCACCTGCCGGTCTCCCCGGCTCTGCGCACGCACCCCCACCGCGCGCCCTCGGCGGAGCAGCAAGCGTTTCCGCTGTAAGAACTACTGTGTCACGTTCCCGCTCAGAGAGCTCCAGTCGCGTCCCACCGTCGTGTATCAACCTCCGGGTCCACGCGCGCTCTGTGATGCCGCCTCGAGCGAACACCACGCGCGCGGACCCAGGCCGGGTGGTCCCGTCCGGTGCGCACCCAGGCTAGGTGGTCCCGTCCAGTGCACACCCAGGCGCCTGGTCCACCTCCTGCTCCGGGGCTGCAGGCCTGCAGCATGTCCCTGTCCTGAGGACCGTCGGCAGTTGCAACATAATGACATTTGTGCATCTAAATGTGTCTAAACACAGAAAAGGTGCGGAAAAGATCCGTTGGAAAGATAGAAACGGTGCCCCTGACAGGGCACTGACCGTGCCGGGAGCCGCAGGACTGGACGCTGCCCGGGGAGTGGACGTGACCATCCAGGACGTTACTACACACAGCTGTAGACTTATCAACACTGGGTGCTTGGGCTACAGCAAATTTATAACACGACACAAGATTAGGCCAAACCCAAGAGAAAATGACGCCAGGAGACACGGTTCCGCGCAAGGTGGCCGAGGCTGCTGGCGAAAGGCAGCCACTGTTGTCCGGCAGCTCTTTCCTAGTGGAAAGAGAACATTCTAAAAGAATGATACAAAGTATAACGCAGTGAGCACAAGGCAGTCACACAGTCGTTGCTCATCGTCAGGTATTACGGCGGCTGTGGCGTCACCAGGCCATAGGAATTGTTGGCTCCACTATAGTCTTATGGTACCGGCGTGACATCCACGGCCTGCCGTTGAGCAGGGAGCTGTTATGCGGTGCACGGCGGTACCTTGAGCTCTGAGACACAAGTCACCTGCTGTAGCCCCGAACTGACGCCCTTTCGCTGCATGGCCGTCCCAGAGGGCTGGGTGATGTGTCAGACTGTCCCTGGATGGTCGTAGCAGACGTTCCCGCCCTCTGCCCAGAAGGTCCTCCCCTAGATGTTCACCTGGGCTCCTTCTCACCATCTGCGTGTCCCGTCAGATGTCACCGCTCAGGGACGTGCCTTTCTTGTAGCATGACACCCTCCTGTTTACCTACCTGGCTTTGTTTTCTGTGCACAGAACGTATTGCTATCAGAAAACATCTCGATTTTAGATGTACTGTCTGCTATATGTCTCTCCTCACCAGAAGATGAGTCTCCGGAGAGAAGGTTGATCAGCATGACTTTCCCTGTGCTTAGAACATTGCATTGCCGGCGACAGGCAGCATACAAAGAAACGCACAAATAATTATAAGGGGATTCAACTGGTGTATTTGAGGGGAAAGAATCACCAAACTGTAGCGATATGAATTATTCAAGTAGTCCCATATATTGGGGGGGGGGGGACATAGAAATGCTATATGTAGGATTGCACAGAGCTAAAGTATAAGGTACAGCTTAACCAAATTATATTGATAGTGAATGTTCAAAGAACTGTCTAACGTTCTAATTTTCTGAATTTTTTGTGTGTTTATAGTTCAAAATTGGGGCTCAAAGGTTCTAAAAGAGAGTATACAACAGCCACGAAATACAAGAATTGGCTGCGAAAATTAAGTTGAATAAAAGGCTCAGATGCACACATGATAAAAATAAAATGAAACAACACCAATAAATTAGTTTTGTGTGTTTGTGTTGTGTTCACTCTTTCCAAGCTGTATCTGTATGCTCTTATAATTCTTCCAGGCCAGTCTAATCAAGTTTAAAAGCAAACATATATCTGTATTTTTTGTCACATGGAGATGTTTTCTTTCTACATTAAAAAGGGCAGTTTCTAGTTTCAATTTTTCGAAGAGGAGTTTATTCAGAAATGAATCTTATTGATGGCAGAATAGGATCTCCTCAATGGCGTAGTATTAAATAAGCCTAGAATACAGACCCCTATTATAAACCCTAAAATGCCTTTAAGAAAAC